TGTGGCCAGGGAGTGCAGTGGAGGATGGCCCAGGTGCTTGGGCCCTGCACCCCATGGAAGACCAGGAAAAGCACCTGGCTCCTGGCTCCTGCCATCGGATCAGCGCGGTGTGCCGGCCGCGGCGGCCGTTGGAGGGTGAACCAACGGCAAAGGAAGACCTTTCTCTCTGTCTCTCTCTCTCACTGTCCACTCTGCCTGTCAAAAAAAAAAAAGAGTCTCAAACCAAAAAAAAAAAAAAAAAAAAAAAAAAATCATGCATGGATTTCAAAATTTGGGACACCAAAATAAACTTACCATTTAATTCTTTTTTCATGAATTTTTTTAAAGATTTATTTGTTTTACTTGAAAGAGTTACAGAGAGGCAGAGGCAGAGGCATAGAGAGAGAGGGGGTCTTCCAACCACTAGTTCACTCCCAAAATGGCCACAACGGCTGGAGCTGGACTAATCTGAAGCCAGGAGCCAGAAACTTCTGGGTCTCCCACGCAGGTGCAGGGGCCCAAGAGCTTGGGCCATCTTCTGCTTTCCCAGACCATAGCAGAGAGCTGGATTGGAAGTGGAGCAGCTGGGACTTGAACCGGCACCCATATGGGATGCCAGCACTACAGGCAGCGGCCTTATCCACTATACCACAGTGCCTGCCCCTTTGTGAGCTTTTACAAGTTGCCTCATGTAATCATTTCACTCTTCTGCCCCCGTACACTTGCTATTTTATCGCTGACACTAATTCATGAATTTGGTGCAGATGAGAAATGGTAAACATCCAGTAACACCGCCCCCCCAAAAAAAAGGGTCCATGCTGGAAAACTCATATACGTAAAAAACGAATGAAAAGCCTATATGCTTACCTTAACAAAAACTTGAGATTTTATTGCAGTTGAGGGGAAACAGGTCTGAACTAAATTTTTGATGTAGTATAAAGCCGTGTCTGGGCTAGTGGCACAATGGTGAGCACTGTAGGTATGGTTTTCCATTAGTCTATGATTGCATCATCCTGGGGCGTGGGCAATCCCTTGCTTTGGAGCCTGGCAATAAGCATGTCCTCCTATCGAGAGTGCTCTTGCCACCTAAGCACTGAACCTGCTGGAGCCTTGATCTTGGATTTTCCCGCCTGCACAACTGTGGGAAATGTTTATACTGTTTATAAATTACCCAATCGAAGGTATGTTGTTATGACTGCCCAAACAGACTTAGACACTTGGCATGGATTGAAATTTTTCTTAGGAAAATGTTAATGAGGAATATAAGTAAATACCTTAGAAGCTTCAGCAAAACTTTAAAAGGAAAGGAAATTGGTACCAAACCAACTTCTTCACCAATGTTATCTGTTGACTTCCAAAGTAAACATCTAGTTTTCAAGCTATGAGCTGCCCGATGCAGGTACCTTCTTTCCAGTCCTCCACATCCTGCTTTCCACTCTGTAACCACTTCCCAGGAAGGAAGAAATCCTCTCAGTTTATCTAACAAACTCTTCACCCAAACTTTCTACCTGCAAAAGTGCAGAAAAGACTATTCCAAGCTCTAGGATATCAGATGTTTGTTAAAGGGGGGGATTTTTGCCAATGTCTGCTATAATTTTCTTTTCTTTTCTTTTCTTTTCTTTTCTTTTCTTTTCTTTTCTTTTCTTTTCTTTTCTTTTCTTTTCTGACAGGCAGGGTGGACAATGAGAGAGAGAGACAGAGAGAAAGGTCTTCCTTTGCCGTTGGTTCACCCTCCAATGGCCGCCACGGCTGGCATGCTGCAGCTGGTGCACCGCACTGATCCGATGGCAGGAGCCAGGTGCTTCTCCTGGTCTCCCATGGGGTGCAGGGCCCAAGTACTTGGGCCATCCTCCACTGCACTCCCGGGCCACAGCAGAGAGCTGGCCTGGAAGAGGGGCAACTGGGACAGAATCCAGCGCCCCAACCGGGACTAGAACCTGGTGTGCCAGCGCTGCAAGGAGGAGGATTAGCCTAGTGAGCCGTGGCGCCGGCCTGCTATAATTTTCATAGCAAACCTAACTCTTACACATGAAAGCTGCTGAAGGAGTGAAAATAAATTCAAATTTTAGCACGTCTTTTCTATTGAAGGATAAGTCAAATGGCTAATTAGGAAAACAGAGATTGGTGCATGGACTCAAACTCTCCTTTCCTACTGCTTCTGTAATGCTTTTCTCTCCAAATGTCTTTATTCCACATTCTCATTTATATGAGGTCATGTCAAGTTCATGGAAAATAGAATAAAAAGATGAATTTATTTGGGCAAAAAAAATTTGAAATCTATGAATATTTTTTTCCAAAATAGGTATTTCTCATGAACTTTTTGAAGACCTCTCATTTGAGTGGATTTGCACTCAAATAAACCTATCTTCTGGAAAGCAGACCTTCAGCGTAGCATCTAAGACAACCTCATCTGACATTGGGTACCTGGGTTCAATTTCCAGTTCTCATGACTTCAATTTCCTGCTGCTGTAGGCTGTGGGAGGCAATAGTGATGGCTTAAAGAATTGGGTTCTTGCCACACATGTGGGAAAACTGGATTCAATTCCTGACTCAGTCCTGGCCCACTCGCAAGCATTTGAGGGTGGAAGCGTTCTGTCTCTCTCTTCTTTATCTCTGTGTCTCTCCCTGTCTCTCTGCCTCTCAAATAAGAATTTAAACATTTTTACTAGAAGCCTACCTTTTTAAAAATATGTTTATTTATTTAAAAGGCAGAGTTATAGAAAAAGAGGGAGAGACAGAGAGATTGATCATTTATCTGCTGGTTCACTCTACAGATAGCTGCAATGGCCAGGAGCCAGAATCTTCTTCTGGGTCTCCTACTTGGGTGGCAGAGGCCCAAACACTTGTGCTGTTCTCTGCTGTTTTTCCTAGGCCACAAGCAGGGAGCTGGATCAGAAGTGCAGCAGCCGGGACTCGAACCAGCAGCCTTACTTGCTATGCCACAGTATCAGCCTCAATAAGACTACCATTTTCCATTAACATTTTGAAGGACCTCATATGCATATATTCTTTCTGGCTCACTTACGTTTCCTTTCCTTTTCTTAATATTTTCTGCCTCCTCATTTTTTTCCTTAGTTTGTCCTTTCCCACTGCCAAAATTTGCAACTATTAGTGTCTCTCAGTGATATCTAGAATTTTGGGATTAAGAGTATGTTGGGACATGGGAAGTGAGATACTCAGCAGACTCATAGAATGGCGGATGTCCTAAATAGCACTCTGGCCTCAGAATCAGCCCTAAAGGCATTCAGATCTGGCTGAAAAGCCCATGAGAGTATTTCAGGCATGGAAAGCCAAGACACTCTGGCAAAAAGATCTCTGTGAGTGAGATCCCAGTGGAAAGAACAGGTCTTCAAAGAGGGAGGTGCCTTTCTCTGAAGGGAGGAGAGAACCTCCACTTTGACTATGACCGTGTCTAAACAAGATAAGAGTCGGAGAACTCAAGGGGCTTCCATAGCCTTGGAAACTCATAACTGGTGCATAGGGAGATTACTGATGCCATAAACAGGAGTGTCAATTGGTAAAGTCAACAACAGGAGTCACTGTGCACTTACTCCTCATGTAGGATCTCTGTCCTTAACGTGCTGTACACTGAGGCTTAATGCTATAACGAGTACTCAAACAGTATATTTCACTTTGTGTTTCTATGGGGGTGCAAACGACTGAAATCTTTACTTAATGTACACTAAACTGATCTTCTGTAAAAAAAAAAAAAAAAAAGAAATTATCAATTCCCAACTTTACTCTCACTGGGATTAAACATGACAATAGGTCTGATCTGATTTCATCATCATTTAAAAAAATCATCTATTATTTTTCACTTTATGTTTCTGTGTGGGAGCAAACTGTTGAAATACTTACTTAAGGTATACTAAGCTGATCTTCTGTATATTAAGATAATCGAAAATGAATCTTGATGTGAATGGAAGGGGAGAGGGAGTGGGAAAGGGGAGGGTTGTGGGTGGGAGGGACGGTATGGGGGGGGAAGCCATTGTAACAAAAAAAAAGAAAAAAAAAAGAGTATGTTGGGAACTGGCATTGTGGCATAGCAAGTGGGGCTACCACCTGAGACGCTGGCATCCCATATGAGTGCCCATTCATGTCCTGTGTGCTTCACTTCTGATCAAGTTCCCTGCTAATGTGCCTGGGAAAGCAGCAGAATATGGCCAAAGCCCTTGGGCCACAGCCACTTCATGAGAGAACCAGATGCAGCTCCTGGCTTCTGGTTTCAGGCTGGGCCAGCGCTAGCCATTGAGGCCATCTGTGGGGTAAACCAGGAGATGGAAGATCTCTCTCTCTCTCTCCGTCTCTCCTGCTCTCTCTCTCTAACTCTGAGTTTCAAATAAATAAATGTCACAATAACAAGCGAGGATTATATCGGTCACTAGTTTACAAAGATGGCGAGCTAGCACGAGGAGTACTTTTGGTGCTCTTTGCTGATCACTTTGGGCTCAAAGAAAAATCAAAGCAATGGAATGACACTGAATTGATCTTAACCAGCAGTAGCCAAGAGGAATGTTTCAAGGGAGCAGGAATGTATGGAATTCCCAACAAGCCAGGGGCTGTGCTAGGACACAGGAAACAAAACAAAACAAAACACCTAGAGTAGAGCTCTTGGGTTTCAGGGAGTAAATTCTTGTTTCTAGCTTTACCTGACCCTACAGCCGACTTCCCTGACAGATGCCCAGGTTCCAGTCTGCTCTCCTGTCCATCTAGTTCTGTGCTTGTCCCTGATCTTTTATGCACTGGCATGAAGAAACTCCTGGCAGCTAGGGCCTACATTGTGGCATAACAGGTTAAACTACTGCTTGTGACACTAACACCCCATGTTGGAGCATTGGTTCAAGTCCTGGCTGCTCAACTTCCAATTCAGCTCCCTGCTGATATACTTGGGAAGACAACAGATGCCCCAAGTGCTTTAGACCCTGCAACCCATGTGGGAGACCCAGAAAGAGTTCTTGGCTTCAACCTGGCACCAGCCACCAGCCATTTTGACCACTTGATGAATGGACCAGCAGATGGAAGATCTCTCTCCCTCCCTCCCTCCCTCTCTCCCTCCCTCTCTCTCTCTCTCTCTCTCTGTGTGTGTGTGTGTGTGTGTGTGTGTGTGTGAGATTCTGCCTCCCCAATAGATACATCTTAAAAACAGAATCTCAGGAGCTAAACCTAAAATGAAATCAATCAGTTCTGGTAATGTCCCAAGCCAAATATTCTGTTTTCTCATTTGCTCCGGAATAAAATGGAAACCTCTGCCCTGCCTGTTGAAGCTCTCGAATACTCCATGTCCTCGCGTGGGTCTAGCTTCGTGTTCCACTGGTTGTCTATTAGGATGGCCTCGGCTTGGCAGCAGTATTAGTTCAGTGTTGTCATGGAAATGAAGCTCGGGAGCATTTACTTCTCACCAGAGCAGGGTCTGGTGTGGATCAGCAGACACTCTTCCATATGGAAAGTCGGAAATTGAGCTCTCTTCTGCTTTGTAAGGTTGCTCTTCACAGGATTGCTAAATGTAAAAATTAAAAATTAAATTTGAATTTCAGACAGATACTTTTAGTGAATGTATATCTCACAAATCTTTGGAATCTTTAAAAATTTTTGCTTATTTATTTATTTGAGAAAGAGACAGAGAGAGAGCACCCATCCATTGGTTCACTCCCAAAATGCATACAACAGCCAGGATAGCACCAGGTGGAAGCCAGAAGCCCAGAATTCATTCTATGTCTCCCGCGTGGGTGGCTAGAACCCAGGTGCTTGGGCTATCATCTACTACCTTACAGGTAGTAGATGTTAGCACGAATGTTGCAATCAGAGGCAGAGGTGAGGTGTGAATACCAAACTCTGATGTGGAATGTGGGTGTTTTTCTTAAAATATATTTATTTTAATTTCATTTTATCTTAAATGCACACACACACACACAGAGTTTACTCTGCAATAGCCAGAGCTGAGACAAGCCAAAGTCAAGAGCCCAGAACTCAATTGAGTTCTCCCTTGTGGGTGGCAGGAACCCAAGCATTTGAGCGATTATCTACTGCTTACCAGAGTGCACAGTAGGAAGAATTCTGGGTTGGAACTGGAGTAGCCAGAACTCAATCCAGGAACTCCAGTATGGGATATCTGCATCCCAAGCAGGTTCTTAGTCCACTGCACAACACTCCTGCCCCAGAAAATGGGAGTCACACCATTACCATTATTCCAAACACCTGCCCTGGAACATTCATTTTTTCCAAAAAAAAAAAAAAAAAATTGAAAGGTTTATTTATTTGTTCGAGAGAGAGAGAGAGAAACTTGCGTCTGCTGATTTGCTGATTCACTCCCCCAAATACCTACAATTGTCAGGGCTAGACCAGGCCAAAGCTAGGGGCCAGAAAAACAATCAAGGTCTCCCATGTGGGTGGCAGGGACCCAAGTACCTTGACCTTCATCCATTGCTTTCCCACGGACATGTACAGGAGGCTGGACTAGCAGCAGAGCAGCCGAGACTTGAACTGGCACTTCGATCTAGGATGCCTGCCTCAAAAGCGTTGGCTAAACACCCCCTGCTCCACAGTGTAGGCCCTTGGGGAACATTGCTCTCTCTCTCTCTCTCTCTCTCTCTATATATATATATATATATATATATACACACACATAAATTTGTTTACACATAGTCCAGTATTTTAAAATTTTATTATAATAATATAATAAGCTTTTAACGCATGGGTGAAATGGAAGCCTTAATGGCTAGATAAGAAGTGAAAAGACACTTAATAGGCAAAACAGCATAAGCATTTGCACAGAGCTAAGAAAGCCAGAGCATAGAGGAGGCAGTGTTGACATCACTGTGTGGCAGTTTGATTGGCATGTAGATCTTTTGAGATTTGCTCATCACCTCTATTCTAGCCCACTTAAAAAAAGACTTAATTTTAGATTGACATGTGATGTCTTATGAGGATGATCAAGAAACTGGCAAGAAAAAAGTTTATGGATTAAAGACAAATTTGTCAGAGAGTAATAATATACAACAAAATCAGATGCTAAATCCCCAAATTATATGAATTCGCTTATGCTTCCAGCCATAAACACAGTGTGAGATCTTGTCAGATTAGGAAATTTGAAGTTCCAGGAAGTCTTAAATATGTGTTTTAAAATTTACAAAGATACTATAGGGATAAAGAATAATGGTACCTGTCAGAGTTAAGGTTTTAGCTGTGTATTTGTCGTAACTCAGTCATTCACAAGTGGTAAGTTTTCCTTGCAGGAAATAAGTCTGGTTCTTATTGAAATACAAGAGGATTAATACAGGAGATACTAGAAAAGAAAGAACAAGCAATATGACAATTTAAATGTGAGGATAGACATAGATCTATGTTTGAATGGAAGCATTCGGGATAACAGCCGAAAATGAAGGGTTTTCTCAGCACAGACACCTTGTGGGATCTGTGTGCCCCTTCAGTACGGGGACAGCAAATGCTGGCTCCTGGGAAAGCAAGATGGAAAGCTCCTCGTTCTCGCTGCTGAGGACTCAGTACCTGCTGATGCTAATGTTGGCTTGCTTTAATGAGACAGATTTGCAGCAGCTGCAAATAAAAAGAAATGGAATGCATTTGCTTTTAGCCTTAAATTTTAGCTTGGGAGTACCTTTTAGGCACCCATTGATAGAATTCTGAATATTGAGATTGAAAATGAAAACACTGAGACAGCACATCATGGCTTTTTTTGGGGGAAGAGGAATGCTTCCTTCCACTGAGTTGATGGGGCAAGTCTCATCTGAGCATCCTGAAGAAAACCTGTATCAGACCTGAAGAACCTGTTACCTCACTGTTTCACATTCCGGTCCTTTGTGGAAGCTGTGGTTATTATTCCAAAGTCGCATAAAGTTCACTATGTGATCTAAATTACACAGTCTCCATTTCTGAATTATGCATCCATACCCAGAGTATGCCTCTACAATCGCCTATCTTTAATGAAAACAGTCTTTGTATTCCAGAATCTACCCTGCAGTGTGGCTCTGAACACGGTCTGCTCTTCTTTTCATTTGATTTTTGGAATCCCAAACGTGTGCAGGGGAAGTGTTTTATTTCTTACTAAAGCACACTGAGACTAAAGTTAATTGGTAATAAAATGCATCAATCGTCATCTCTAAGCCAACAGTGAATGGTGGTAGTGTTATTTTGATGGTTTTCCTTTGAACTTTTCCTTCTTCACAACATGTGTTGGATGTTGACTGAAGAAAAAGAAAATTCATCACAAGGCTCAACACCTCAGAACTGGGTGGTTTTGTTAATTCCTAGGAGAACATAATACCAAGTTCAAATGAAAAGTGTGTGTGTTCTCTTTTCACATTCAGTTTCTTAGAGCATGCCGTTCTGGAATGGGTAGTGTGAGTTCAGTGCAATTGTAAGCCCCTGAGGTCTCAACCTTGTTCTGCCACTACGTGGCTGTGTAACCCTACGTAAGTTGACTTGCAGAGCTCAGGCTCAGCTTTTCATCCACAAATAGGGCTGATAGGGAATCGCTTGAGCCTCATAGGGTGCTGTGAGCAATACATACTTTCATACTGTGCCTTTCATGTAAAATCTCAGAAAATATGAATGAACATTGTTTTTATTCCCAGATTACTAAGGTACCCCTCACAAAATATTTTTGTTGCATCTAATAAGTTCCAACTTCCCAAAGTTTAGGCATATTTAAATATAATTACTGTCTGAGGTCATATTTCCTGGGAAACAGACTGAGGCAGAGATGCGCAGGTGAATTTTTTAAAAAGTAACATAGGTTTTCAGCTTTTTTTTATTACAAATTTTCCCCTATCCAATCAGACTACAAATTATGAACTTGTGAACTCAGCCAGGCAGTTTGATTCAGGCAGCAGTAGCACTCAGCGCTGGCCTGTTAGAGGGAAGAGCTGATACAACAATGACAGTACCCGATCCGAGCCCCTAAAGGACTGTGACATTGAGGCACACTCGTTTCAGTAAGCAGCCCATGTAGAATACGGCCACTAATAGGGTGGAACAGAATTAGGTGGGATTTTCCTAACCCTGTAGAAGGGAATGGCTCACAGAGGAGGCTATCAAGCTAGGCTTTTCAGAATGAGTGAAGTTTACACAAGGGAAAAGGACAATCAGGGCTTTTATAGCTAAAAGAAAAGTAACAACAAAGAAAAGGGGAAGGTGGATGTAAAGGTAATTTACAGATCTGGGGAACTATCAGTCATCTGCTGTGAGTGGCTTATAGGAGATGAAAAGCTGATTAAAAAAATTATTTAGGGTCTTATGTTCGAGAAACTGCAAAAGAGCACAGATCGGTGCCTCCTCACACGGGGCACCAAATGTAAGAAAAGAGGGGTGCAACACAGAGAGGAAGCAGGGCACGGATTTGCAGCCAGATCAGATTTATTCAGAGAAAATAAACTCGCAGAGGTCAATCAACTGCCAGTGTGTACACAGACCAAACATGTGGCAGAGGGCTCTGGCTGTACATTCGTGCCCTGCCTCCTCTCTCTGCTGCACCTCTTCTTACATTTGGCACTCCATGTGAGGAGGCACCAATCTCGCCTCTTTTTCTTACAGTATGTTCCAGGAACTGGACTACCACATTAAAGAGTTTGGATTCCTCTCTAACTAAAAATATAGGTTTGAGTGCTGGCACCATGGCACAGTAGGTTAATCCTCCGCCTGCAGCACCAGCATCCCATATGGACGCCAGTTCTAGTCCCGGCTGCCCCTCTTCTGATCCAGCTCTCTGCTGTGGCCTGGGATAGCAGTGGAAGATGGCCCAAGTCCTTGGGCCCCTGTACCCACGTGGGAGATCAGGAAGAAGCACCTGGCTCCTGGCTCCTGGCTCCAGATCGGCGCAGCTCTGGCTGTTGCTGCTATTTGGGGAGTGAACCAATGGAAGGAAGACCTTTCTCTCTGTCTCTTCCACTCACTGTCTGTAACTCTACCTTTCAAATAAATAAATTAAATCTTTAAATATATATATATATATATATATATATATATATAGTTTTGAGCAGAAGTATGGTGAACAGATTAGTGCCTTAGAAGAAAGTCAGGGGTGTTAACACAAGGCATGTATTGGTTGGGAAGATAGGAGACTGGCTAGCAGGTTAGAAAGATGTTGCATTAGTTCAAGGAAAGTTTATTTGTAATAATTAATATGCAATCATCTTACCAGTGTGCAAGGATATAGGCAAGAAAAGACCAAGTTGGGTTTAAAACCATCCATTCATTCGGCAGGTATGAAGAGAGCCTACTTTGTGTTAGGTGGGTGACTCAGAGTTAAAGTCACCTCAATCCTTGACCTTGAGTGTTCAGTTTAGTGAATTGGTCCTAGACGTTGATGATTGCAACCAGAGATCCTCACCAAGCAACATTTCATGAACAAGATCATAAGACTCTCTAAGTGGCCTGTGCTTCTGCTTTGATAGGATAGAATTTTATCTCAGAGTCATTTCAGTTAGTGAAACTCTACTAGGGGCTCTCCAGACCTGAGTGGACTTTTGTTTCCAACCAATGACATTGGTGACTCTTCTCAGAAGATGATTTGCAGGCTGCTAGAGCTGCTTTGCCTATAGGCACACAGAGCCAAAAGCACCTGGAAGTTTTAGGCCCTGCCCCTTCTCCAGCAGTGTCTCTACTGCAGCCTAAAAGGAGAGCCCCGATGCCATGCTTAGCTTGATGCAAACTCCACCCTGGGACTTACACTCCACAACCACTCTGCACGGTTAGTTAAGCCCCCTTTCAGGAGCCTTTGTCTGAAATCATCGCCTTGCTTGTCTGTTTCTTTCACTCCCTGGAAGGACTTCCTTAATAAGCAACTTTATTCTAAATGCTTGTGAGCAGTGTATTTCTAGGAAAGCCCAAGACCAGTGTTTCTGCTTAAAATATCTCTTTCCTGTACTCTACCCTTTAGAAATATATTCTGAGTTAATAAATCTTCTAAGCTGTATAAATATAACCGCAGAGGGATATTCATAACATAACAGAACATTCCTAACACACTGAAGTGAGTGCAAATTCAGTAACCAAGATTCACAGGCATGGGGCAGCCAGGCTATCTGCGTGGATTTCTTTTTAAGGAAGCCAAGGCAGTGAGACCCTTTAACCAACCTCATTCTGTCTGTGTGTAAACAACAAGTGCAGTTTCAAGATGCAGAAGGAGCTGCTGGGACCAGGATCAGACTGCTCCCATAAGATGCTTATTTGAGAGAACAGAAAGGGAGACCTGGTAGAACTGCATTCTGGGAGTGAAAGATTTTAATGTGCTTGGTTTGGAGATTCACATGCGCAGCAGGGGAAAGAAGAGCCACACTCTGTCCAGGACACACACACCAAGTGACTACTGGACACGAGAACGGGTCTAGTCACAGTTCAGACTGATCGGGATTTTAACCCAGATAGTCAGAGAACAACCACAAGCCAAAGGGAATTCAGAGATTCTGTCTATTTATAACCAGCAGGCTGGATAATTTTCTCCTAATTTTGAACAAATGTTTTAAAAATGCGACCTAAAAATCAACCAGTGGCACAACTGAAAAGGAACAACATCCTGGAGACAAGAGGAAGAGCAGACCTCTGAACGTTATTTATAACAGGAACCAGAGAAAATTTCGAGGACTATTTATCATAGTTAATCTGATTTAAGAAGTCACTGCTCTTGGTAAACAGGAAAAGAAAGCCACAAAATGGAACAAGCTGAGATGAAGGGACACCAGGATGAGATGAAAAGAAGACAGGATGTGGGGCCAGGGCAACAAGCTGGGATGAAGTGCGAGCTCTCGGGGAGATCAAGGAGGTGGGCAAGGAGGCTAGAACAGCGGTTGCAAAATTGAAATCCCTTTGGATTCAAACTCTCTGACACATGCATCCCATAATAACACATGGGGGAACACAAGGAGGAGGTCAGATATGCAGAACAAAAGCAGGAGATGCAAATTCGGAATGAGAGCTTTCTGGAAGCCAAGGAGATTAGCCAGAACAGAAGAAGTCATTAAAAATGCAATTGAAGAAACCTTTCTGAGTACGGGGTGTGGGGTGAGAGAAAAGGGGAAGACTAGAAACGTAAATAGCAAAGATTGACCAAGATCCAGGCAAAATTTCTTAAAAAAATAATTAAACACATATACTCCTAATAGTTTTGCATAATAAGGAAAAAAAGGATTGACAAGAACTGAGGATGAAAAATACAGGTTATTTACAAGTCATTATTGATACTAATGTGGCTACACAGAATAATTTGCAACACTAAATTTCAAAGGATAAAGCAACTTTAGAGAACCTTTCTTTAATTCAACAAGCATTATG